TAGGCATGTGCCACCATCACCATGCCCAGTCTCCCTCTTTTTCCCCATTCCTTTTTTTGTTTGTTTGTTTTGTTTTTCGAGACAGGGTTTCTCTGTGTAGCTTTGCGCCTTTCCTGGATCTCGCTCTGTAGTCCAGGCTGGCCTCGAGCTCACAGAGATCCTCCTGCCTCTGCCTCCCAAGTGCTGGGATTAAAGGCGTGTGCCACCACCGTCCAGCTCCCCATTCCTTTTTTAAAAACAGGGTCTTGCTGTATAACTCTGGCTGGACTGGAACTTACTATATCCTCTTCTATTGTCCTCTGTCTTAGAGTTTCTATTGCTGTGATAAAACATGACCAAAAGCAACTTGGGGGAGAAGGATTTATTTCAGTTTACATGTCCTGACTGTAGTTCATCATGAAGAGAAGCCAGGGTAGGTAAACAAGGCGAGAGCTTAGAGACAGGAGCTGATGCGGAAGTGATGGAGTATCAGTGCTTACTGGCTTGCTCCTCATGATGACTTGCTCAGTCTACTTTCTTATGGCACCTAGGACAACTGGCCAACAGGTAGCACTGCCTACAGTGAGCTGGGACCATCGTCAATCATCAATAAAGAAATGCACCATGCTGGGCACTTGTGAAGCAGAGGCAGGTGGATCTCTGTGAGTTACAGGCCAGCCTGGTCTCCAGAGTGAGTTCCAGGACAGCCAGAGCTCTACACACACACACACACACACACACACACACACACACACACACACACACACACCCACCCTGGCCTCCAGAGTGAGTTCCAGGACAGCCAGAGCTCTACACACACACACACACACACACACACACACATACACACACACACACACACACACACACACACACACACACACACACAAAAAAAACTTGTCTCAAAAAACCAAAAGGCAGCTTACCTACAGGCCAAATCTAGTGGATATATTTGCTTAGTTGAAGTTCCTTCTTTTAAAATGACTCTGGCTTGTATGAAGTTGACATGAAACTAGCCAGCATACTCTTTAACTTATTTTCTAAGACAGGATCTCCAGCTTAACCTGGAGCTCACCTTTTCAGCTAGACTGGCTGGCTGGCCAGCAAGTCCCCCAGATCCCTCTATCTCTGCCCCTCAGTGGTAGAGTTGGAGGCTTTTTTGTATAGTGCTGTAGATCTGACCCAGGATCCTCCTGCTTTATGCAGCAAGTACTTCCCCAACTAGGCCATCTCCCCAGCCCTATCCTGTTACTTTTCACTTACTTGTATCACTGCATTTTAATTGAGTTTCTAACTAATGCTATATTTATTTCACCCTTTTTGCTTGTTTGAGTATGATATGTATGTGTTATATTATGCGCAGTGTATGTACCTTTTAGTGTAGATCTGCACATGTGGGTACGCATGCATATGTGTGTGTGCATGCATGCAGAGCCTCAGAGGTTGATGTTGGGTGTAAAAAACTGCTTTACATTTACGTATTTATTTTGTGTGTGAGAGTGAGCACATCCTGTGGTACCCAAGTGGAGGAGCAAGGACAAACTGTGGAAACTGGTTCTCTCCTCCACTACAGAGGTTCCAAGTAGCAAGTGCCTTTACCTGAGGACTGTACTGCCAGTTCATCATCTTGGTAAATATTATCCATCAGAAGGGTCTCTCACTGAAACTGAACCTCTGGCTAGCCAATGAGCTTCAGGGAACACACACACACACACACACACACACACACACACACACACACACACACACACACACAGAGAAGTAACAGGCATATGCTTCTGTGCCTCATTTTCATCTTTTTATGAATCTGCTCTGACAATTTAAAACTGTTGCTCAAGAGGTTACAAATACATGCATATTTAACTGGGGGGGCGTGGCGCACACACAGTGGGGACTTACAAATGCTAAACATGTACTCTACCACTGAGCTGCATCCCTCGCTCATATATACTCTTCAGAGTTCACCTCTGCAAATAGGATGTATGAACCTTAGCAGCATATAGCAGCACCCTATTCATGTTGTAACTGTCTTCCATATGACTACATCTACACACACTGCTTTCGACTGTCAAATATATCTCAAGGAACTCAATAGAGAACAAATAATCCATTTTATTTCCCTAAGAATTTACTATAACATTTCACTCATTCCTGATGCTGTGTTCCCTCTGAAGAATTTCCCTAAACAATCACTTCAGAGCAGGTATTGACAATCAACACTGTTTTCCTTCATCTAAGAGAACTTTGTTTCTCACTCCCCTCCTTTTACTCCTCTTCTACTTATTTATTTGCTGGATAGCCCTGGCTGGCCTGGAACTTGCTGTGTAGACCTGGATGACCTCCAATTGAACAATCTCAGGAGCTACCTCAGCCTCCTGAAAGCAAGGATCACAGGGTTTTGCCATCTGGGTATACCTTGGTTTTTTTGAGAGAGGGTCTTACTCAGTAGTCCAGGTAGTCTTAAATTCACAGTACTCTGCCTGTCTAGCCTGTCAAGTCCTGGGATTCCAGGTGCGAGCTATGACACTCAGTTCCATCGCGCTTATAATAGATATTTCAAGGCTGGGCAATCTTTGGAAGTTTTGTTTGTTTTAAGAGAGGTCTTGCTGTGTCCTTTGGTCTTGACCTTGGGAACTGAAGTGATCCTGTTACCACAACTTCTCAAGTAGCTGAGGCAAGTGTTTGCTAACATCCTCAGTGGGTAGTTCTTTCAGAATATATGCTACTGTCTTCTGATTTCTAATGGGAATATACAGTCATTCAAACCACCATCCCCTGTAGGAAATAGGTTACTTTTTTCTAGCTATTTTTAAGAATTTTCTTTCTGTTTGTTTGTTCTGTTTGAGACAGGGTCTCTCTAATAGGCCTGGCTGTCCTGGAACTCACTATGTAGACCAGGCTGGCCTTGATCTCACAGAGATCCACCTGCTTCTGCCATACCAGTGCTAGGATTTAAGGCATGCGCCACCACGCCCAGCCTAACAGTTTTTCTTATCCTTAGCAGTTTGGTTCCTATGTCTCTGACAATAACTTCTTCAGTTTATCTTGCTAGGGTTCATCTTTCATTCATAAGTCTTCCTTGTTAAGTATTTAAAGATTTGAGAAATTTTTAATATGTTAAATTTGTAATTACACTTTAAATATTAATTATAATGATCTTCAATGTTTGGGGGACTTGAACAGTCAAATCTGTGAAATATTATCCACTAAATAAATAGATAGATAGATAAATAAATAGTGATGGGAAATGGGCATGGTGGTGCTTGCCAACAATCCCAGTAATTAAGAGGCTGACATAGGAGGGTCACAAGCTTGAGGATAGTTTAGCTACATCATGAATTCCAGGCCAGCTTGGTCTACATCAGGATGCTATCTTGAACTGCCTACTTAAATAAAAACAAGAAGACAATAGTTTTTCTTTTAAAGTTATTTAATGTATATGTATATAAGTGTTTTGCTTATATATACATATGTGTACCACACACATGCCTGGTGCCCTTGGAAGTTCAGAAGAGAGCATCAGATTCCCTGGAACTAGAATTAGGGGTGGTTTGCACCACTATGTGGGTGCTGGAAACTGAACCCAGGTCCTCTACAAAAGGTCTTAACTACTGGGCCATCTCTCTAGTCCCTACAACAGTTCTGTTGTTGTTGTTTTCAGTACTGAGGACTGAACCCAGTGGCTTGTGGGCATGTTAGGCAAGCACTCTACTGCTAAGCTATAAACCCATTCTCAAACAAAAATTATTGCTACAGACTAGATAGTCTGCCCAAGTTCAAATGCTAGTGCTGTCATTTATTATTATTATTCACCAGACATAACTTAGAGCACCTGAAATCTTAATGTTCTGGAGACTAAGTCATAAGGGTCATGAGTTCCAGGGATAAATACATAGTGTGTTTTTGGTTTGTGTTTGTTTGTTTGCTTGCTTGTTTTATTTTATTTTATTTTATTTATTTATTTATTTATTTATTTATTTATTTATTTATTTATTTATTTATTTTTTGGTTTTTCGAGACAGGGTTTCTCTGTGTAGCTTTGCGCCTTTCCTGGAACTCACTTGGTAGCCCAGGCTGGCCTCAAACTCACAGAGATCCGCCTGGCTCTGCCTCCCGAGTGCTGGGATTAAAGGCGTGCGCCACCACCGCCCGGCCTGCTTGTTTTATTTTTTGAGACAGGGTTTTGTTGTGATATTCTGTTTGTGTTCTGACAAATAAAGCTTGCCTGGAGATCAGAGGGTGGAGCTAGCCACTAGTTAACCATAGAGATCTGGAGGTCTGTATAGACAGGAGACAGGAAATGATGGCTGGGCAGAGAGAAGTGATGAGGTGGGGCTGAGATAGGAGCTCAGCCCCTTTCAGGTCTGAGTCGGAGAGGTAAGAGGTGACTGTGGCTGCTCCTTTGCTTCTCTGATCTTTCAGCTTTCACCCTTGATATCTGACTCTGAGTTATTACTAAGACTAATTAGGATAGCACTACAGGGTTTCTTTGTGCAGCCCTGGCTGTCCTAGAACTAGCTTTACAGACCAGGCTGGCCTCTAACTCCTGAGTGCTGGGATTAAAGGCATGTGCCACCACCGACCAGTATAATTGGTAAACATTTAAATGTTCTTTTTTTTTTTTTTTTTTTTTGGTTTTTCGAGACAGGGTTTCTCTGTGTAGCTTTGCGCCTTTCCTGGGACTCACGTGGTAGCCCAGGCTGGCCTCGAACTCACAGAGATCCGCCTGCCTCTGCCTCCCGAGTGCTGGGATTAAAGGCGTGCGCCACCACCGCCCGGCTTAAATGTTCTTTTTAAGTGATGAAAGATTTTTAGAGACAGAGATGAGGAAAGAAAAGCACCAATATTTTGTTATATACTACTCAGCTGGAAATGATGATCGAGTATTGTTTGACTGAGGTATGAAGCCAGAGTCTAGCAAGTCAAAGGTAAAGTGCCCCATGCTGTACAGTTAGAGCACCAATAGAGAAACAGCAGCGATGGCTGGTATACACTCAGATGCAAAGAAAAGCAAGACTTACTTCAAAGTTGTACTTCTTCATCTGGTTGAGGTGCCGGCAGTACAGGTAGAGCATGCCAATGCTGCTGCCCACTGCAATGTAGTCTCCATTAACATCCAGGGCTGTGAGGTAGACCAGAATAGAGCGAAAGCCCCTCTGGATCTTTGTGGGAATGGCATTGAGGAGATAGTACAAAGGGCAGAATTCTCGGAATGTTACAGGTTCTGATATCGATGCCATGGTCAAGGTTTCCACAGATGTTCTTCAGGCAGGACTGTTTATTCATCATCTACGGAAACCTGCAGGCTACAGAATACAGAATTGTAACTCTTTCAATGCCTAGTCATACCAAAAAGCAGTAATGTTTAATAGTGGGAACAATGCATTTTCAACAGATAAGAATCATGGCTGGGGATGGGGGTTGCAAAGATGGCCTAATGGTTCAAAGCATGTTTGGTTTGAACCTAATGTTTGGTTCCCAGTACCCATGTCAGGCAGCCCACAACCATCTGTAACTCCAGCTCCACAGGATCCCATGCCCTCTTCTGGCCTCCACTCATATTGCACTCACATGCACATACCCCCATACAGACACAGGCACATACACATAATTTAAAATAAAAATAAACCGGGGTGATAAAGATGGCTCAGTGGTTAAGAGCACTGACTATTCTTCTAGAGGACCTGGGTTCAATCCCCAGTACCCTTATCATGGCTCACAATCATGTGACTCCAGTTCCGGGGGACTGAAGCTCTCTTTTGGCCTCTGTAGGCAAAGCATACATGTGCTACAGACTTATATGCAGGCAAAACCCATACACATGAAATAATAATATAATAATGAAAGATGAACAGAAATCTTGACAAAAGGAATTCTAGCTGGAGCTTAAACAAGGACAGTAAATGGGGAGCGAGATACCTTCAGCATTTGAGTCCCAAATGCACTTCAGTTAGGACTAGCTCCTATGACCGATACCATAGTCAACAGTGTGGTGGACAGAAGAGTATAAAGCCTAATTCTTTTCAAGAAGTTTGTGAACTAGCCGGAAAGGCCAATGCAACAACAAAGAGACACAAAACTACAGGAATGAAATGGGCTTCCATGAGAAATTCAGGATTAGTGTGAACTAAAGTGAGCCAGGAGGCAGCTCTCCTTGAGAAAACTCTACTGTCCTTTTCCTAAGCACCAGCCCCTTCTCGCCTAAATGGTCCCAATAGTCATGCCTAAATTAATTTTTATTCTTCTTAACTAGGCAGAATGCTTGTAATCCCAGCACTCAAGAGACTGCAGTAAGAATACCACTGTAAGTTCATATTTAGCCTGGGCTACACAGTGAGTTTCAGGGTAGTCTGAGCTACAGCAAAAACACTCTCAAAAACAAAACAATCTCCAACTTAATTAACTCTAGCTCTGTTTCAACACCACCTTCCCCCCAAAAAAAAGAGTCTGGAGAAGACACCACTGAAAACATGCAGCAATGAAGCCCACCTGTCTGAGCAAGACACAGGAGAAAGCTTATATTAGAACAATAAGCCCACTCTAGAGAAATAAGCCTCCCCTACCCTCTATTAATGTCTGGTGAAAAAGCAGGTTCCTATAGCCAAGAGCCATCTCAGTGCTGGGAACCCATTCACCCTGCAGCTCCTACTTGCTCCTCCATGCACAAAAATCAAGATACTCTACACTCACCAGCACCTCGTTTAACGAAGTTCACTTAGGTCTTCTGCAAGTGCTCTTAACCACTAAGCCATTTATCCAGATCCTTGGAAATATTTCAGAAGGTGGAAAAAGGCTGGTCCAGTGGAAGTGAATTAGTAGTACTAACTGGAGCTCCAAGAGGTGAAAATATTGAAATTTTAAAATGCACTGCCAACTTGTCTTCAGCTATCATAAAGATTTATGCTTTAAACATGTTTCTCCAAAGGACTTTCTGAAGTCAGTAAGTCACAGAACCCAAGAGAGCCAGAAGGCCCACTGAATCTCTTCAGGTGGGGTTCTGGGAGAACTCAGCACCAGGTCTGTGCCTTTCACCTAATAGGCAGATGGGAAATGGGCTGAAGCTCACTCTGACAAAGCTGGCCAACAGCAGAAGGCATGTTGGGTGGGCTTGGAAGAAATCAAGAGCTATTGCCTCCCTGTCCTGTGATACGTTTGATGAAAACTATTCAGACTCAATGAACACTTCTGACTAGTGGTTTTGCATTCCTACCCTGCCCAATTTTCTTTTCTTTCTTTCTTTCTTTCTTTTTTTTTTTTTCAGAGCTGAGGACCGAATCTAGGGCCTTGCACTTGCTAGGCAAGCGCTCTACCACTGAGCTAAATCCCCAACCCATCCCTGCCCAATTTTCACACAAGCCTAAAGGCACATTTTGCCCTACCTCAGGTTCAGACCCACTGCCATAAACTGAGACTTCCTGCTGTAGAAAAACAGCAGCACACTGGAGTGGCTAGTGATATCAGAGGGGGAAAGGACTAGGGCTGAAATCCCAATGTATTTTAAGACTAGCTGTGGGACCCAGGGGAAATTATTTAATGGCTGTAGGTTGCCATTTACCCATCTGAAAATGGTTAGGAATATAACCAGGTACGGTGGCACACACCTGTGATCCTGGTGGTGTGATAGTACTACCAAAATTAACTTATTGAAAATGGCCACAGTTCTGAGGCAGGTAGCACCAAGCCAGACTGAATCAAGTGCTGTCCAGGTTGAAACCCTGGTGCTTACTAATCCTCACTTCCTCCCTCTTGCTCACCTCCACTTATTCTCCAAGCACTAACACCAAGGACCCCTTCTCTCCACTCAGCCTTCATAATTCACCATCCCCTCTACCCAGAATGATCTCCTTCCACAGATGTGGCTTCCTTTCATCTCTGGGGGCTCAGCCGAAACATTATCACTACAAGCAGGTATTCCCAGACCAGATCACTTATGAATATCAAAGCTCCCTTTCCATCCACATGCCCTTCATAATAATCCTCAATACAACCTCTGATTCTTCACTTGCTAAAGAACCTCTTCCGTGAGAAGGAATGCCAATCTTCCTTTAGCACAGAGTAGATGTCTATAAATATTTGTTGAATAAATAAAATGTTAACCTCTAGTCTTATTGATTTGGTTTTTTTTTTTTTTAAGACAGGGTTTCTCTGTGTAGTTTTGGTGCCTGTCCTGGATCTCCCCCTGTAGACCAGGCTGGCCTCGAACTCATAGAGATCCGCCTGCCTCTGCCTGTTTTTTTCTCTGCTTGATATCAAACACAAGGCCCTCATTCTTACTAGAAAAGAGGCCTACCACTGTGATTTTTTATTCCAGTCTTTAAGATAAATAATGTCAGGGCCGGAGAGATGGCTCAGCAGGTGAGAGCACTCGTTGCTCTCCCAGAGGACATGGATTTGGTTCTCAGCACCCACCCACCCACATGGCAGCACACAACTACCTGCTAACTCCAGTGCCAAGGGATCTGATGCCTTCTTCAGCCTCTTCAGGCACTGCATGTACATGGTACACATACAGACAAGCAGGTACATATAATGCATATAAAAATGAATTAAAAATATATAATCGGGCCGGGCGGTGGTGGCACATGCCTTTAATCCCAGCACTCGGAGGCAGAGGCAGGCGGATCTCTGTGAGTTTGAGGCCAGCCTGGGCTACCAAGTGAGTTCCAGGAAAGGAGCAAAGCTACACAGAGAAACCCTGTCTCGAAAAACCAACATATATATATTTTTTTTTCAGGCTGGAGAGATGGCTCAGAGGTTAAGAGCATTGACTGCTCTTCCAGAGGTCCTGAGTTCAATTCCCAGCACCCACATGCTGGCTCACAACCATCTATAATGAGATCTAGCGCCCTCTTCTGTGTACATAATAAATAAATAAAGAAATCTTTAAAAAATATATATAAGCAATGCTTCCTTGGCTATGAGAATTTCAGTTTAAAATGAAAAAGCAAAGTTAAAAAGCATGGGCTAGTGAGACAGATCAGTGGTTAAGAGTGCTTGCTGCTTTTCTAGAGGACCTGAGTTCAACCATGGGTTATATTCAACCATCAGTTTAATGAGCATTTCCAAAAACTAGAGCTAGGAGTAACCCAGAACCCAAATTATGCACCCAGCAGTACAATTGTCATATGTCACCACAGGCTCTGATAGCACTGTCTCAAGGACCTTCTCTAAACACAATACAAAGTAACAATTAGTATTCATGTACAGTTTTTTTTTTTTGTTGTTGTTTTTTTTTTTTAGGACAGTCTCACATGGTCCTCAAATATCTTCCAAGTGCTAAGATTACAGGAATGGACCTCCATGCCTAGCTTTTTTGCCCCCATGGCTTCTTATTCTTTGTAGGTTTTTGTTTTGTTTTCTCGAGAAATGGTTTCTCTGTGTAGCTCTGGCTGTCCTGGAACTCGCTCTGTAGACCAGGCTGGCCTCAAACTCAGAGATCCACCTGCCTCTGCCTCCCAAGTGCTGGAATTAAAGGTATGTGCCACCACTGCCTGGGCTTCTTACTCTTTAATTATAATTGTTACATATATGTGTGTGTATGCATAAGCTTGTAAATACAATCTGCTAAGATCATTTGGCATAACCACACCTGGCACTTATAATCCATCTTTATTTTGGCTTTTAAGTTATTCATTTATTGTGAGAGTCTCACACCATAGCTTTGGCTGGCCTAGAACTCCCAAGGTCATCTAGCTTAGCTTCATGTCTGCCGGGAATACAAGCATACCCCTCCATGGCCAGTTGATGAAGTGTTAAGATTTTATGGTAGAATTCAAAGGGGTAGGGAATAATTCATCTTACAGATGAAATGCTGTTACTTCCCTATTTCTTCTGTCCCTGTTGGCTACCAACTGTACGTAGGTTAAGCCTGACCCAAGCATTGAAACAGGACATCTGAAGAAAGCTCTGTATCTAACTTCATCTCCATCTCCATTTTCTGCTCCAGTTGCAAACTTTAAATTTTTATTTATTTGTTACTTGTGTGTAAGTCTGTGGCGGGGGGGGGGATACATATGCTGGTGTATTTGTACCATGGTTTATGTGTGGAAGCCAGAGGACAACATTGTGGAGTCAGTTCTCTTTGTCTGCCTTTACAGGGGTTCCAGGAATTGAACTCAAGTCACAAGGTTTGCAAGGCATGTGCCCTTACCCCATGAGGCATCATGCTGGCCCCCTAAATGAGCTTGTAATCCCAGCACATGGAGGTAGAGGAAGGACGACTGCCATAAATTCAAGGCCAGCTTGATCTACACTGACAGTTCACAAACCAATCAAAGTTTACACAGCCAGATTCTGCCAACTTCCACCCCCAACCAACAAATGAAAACAAAAACACAAACAACCAACTACTAGAGTACAGTACAGTCAACACTGAACTCATATTTGTTGGATTAATCTCTCTCTCAAAAACCTCGTGCTGAGCCAGGTATGGTGGTGCATACCTATTACTTAAGCACTCAGGAGGCTGAGGCAGGAGGACAAGGCTGTGGATAGTCTGGGCTTTATAGTGAGATCCTGTCCCCAGAACAAAATAAACAAAAAAACTGCCACAATGCCCCAAGACTGTAGCAAAGATTCACTGGAACTTTCATGACCAGATCCAAAGCATACATCCATGGGAAAGGAACATGCATTCTAAACTTGCTTCTATCTACACAATTCATAAAAAACAAAACAAAACAAACAAACAAAAAAACCCACCTAATTTCTGTCTCCTGATTCTCCCAAGTTCCCTCTTATGTCAATACTGGCCGAATTCTCCAAGCTTGACCCCAAATCCTATTTTTTTTTTTTTTTTCGAGACAGGGTTTCTCTGTGTAGCTTTGCGCCTTTCCTGGAACTCTCTTTGGAGACCAGGCTGGCCTCAAACTCACAGAGATCCGCCTGCCTCTGCCTCCCGAGTGCTGGGATTAAAGGTGTGCGCCACCATGCCCGGCCCCCCAAAGCCTATTTTTATTATTTGTATAACCACCTCCTAATCCGTCCATTCTTCACCTTTCCAAATTCAATCAGCTGTTGTTGTCTGCTTCCTTCCTTCTTCCCCATTAAGTTCCATTTGGTTGTAATTATAGAGGCTACTCTGAAATGGGATCCTCCTCAACCCAAAGGATAACTTCCTAAGAAAAATCTGAAAACAAGCCCAATAAAAACCAGTCTTCCGCTGGGTGGGGGTGGCACATACCTTTAATCCCAACACTCAGGAAGCAGAGCCAGGCGGATCTCTGTAAGTTCGAGGCCAGCCTGGTCTACAGAGTGAGATCCAGGACAGGCACCAAAACTACACAGAGAAAACCTGTCTCGAAAAAACAAAAAACAAAACAAACAAACAAACAAAACAACAGTCTTCCATTGAAAAAGACTATGTGGCTACATCAAAACAAACTTGCTTGGGGCTGGAGAGGTAGCTCAGCCCTTAAGAGCAAGGCTGCTCTTCCAGAGGACCAGAGTTCAATTCCCAGCACCCACATGGCATCTCCCTTCAGTTCTGGGGGGTTTGATGCTCTCTCCTGACCTCTGCAGGCACTGCACACATGTGGTGCATTGACACACGTGCAGGCAAAACACCCACACACATAAAATAAGTTTTTAAACTTAAGGAAAAAAATGACCTGAGAGAGGACTGCTTTATTTCATCCTCCCCATCTCTGATTCCCAAGCCCACCCTGAAAATCAGACGGGATTCTCAGGTTTAAAATCTCAAGAGCCAGGCTCAGGGTAGTGCCTGGGTGTGAAGAGTAAGCCACACATCCCTAAGGCCTGGCCCCGCAGCTGGCACAGGTGGACCCTAGCGCACACAGTGTGAGTGAACAAACATAGGCTGTAAGACAGGTCACCAAAACAAACAAAATGGTCACAGTGTGTATCAGCATTACAGCTGGATGGGAGAAGGTGCAAACACGGTGGCAGCCGAGAAGACAGCCTCTCCGGTGAAAGGGAACTAGAGCAACTTCATATCTAGGACCTGACTTTCCCACAGCCCCCTTTTTTAAAAAATGATCTTTCCTGTCAATGCAAAACGATACACCTCACATTCTGCCAACAAACGGAACAGAACAATCCCTGAATATAAGTGAGAGAGGAAGCCCAAAGGGCAGGAAAAAGAGGTAAAGTTGAGAAAGGAATGTAAGTAATGGGAAGCCACACTTAAGAAGGGACAAGAGGAAAAAGCTGTGAAGCCAGCAGAGCCGTGTGGGTGACAACAGAGACAAACTATCCTTTATTGAGATCATTCGGCCAGACTCTGTACTTAACTGTATATGCACTGACCCATTTAATCCTCCACCACCCCAACATAAAAACTTATCACCTCCATTTTACGGATGACGAAACTGAAGCTGGGAAGTTGACACTTGCTCCAGCAAACGGGTAGGAAGGGGAAGTACAGTGACCTGACCAGAGGTCTGATCCCGGGGTCACCCCATTCTTTAACCCTCACTGCCCATTCGGCCTCCGAGGCCACACAGTCCCTATTAACCGGGAGGTATTCGCTTATGCATTTAACCAACACTTACTGAACTCCTAGTGGGTGCCCAAGCCAGCTGCTTGGCGCTGGTAGGCGAATGTAAGGGTTCCTGCTGCGGGTCGGGGGACAGAACCGAACGAAACGTCAATCGCCAGGCTCAGGAGCCTGGAGCCCGCCGCAAGAGGGATGTAGGGTGGGGCCGGAGGGGAGGAGCAAGGGGAGCTGGGGCGCCGCGGCGGCCCCGGGCGGTATGTGAGCGCTGCGACGCCCGGTGCCCCGCTCGGACGCGGGCTGTGACAGACGCGCCGCGTGCGGTGGCTGCCAGTGGGACGGCGACGCGGCTGTGGAGACTCCGACGGGCTGAGACAGGGAAGGGCGGCTCGGCCAGGAGCACGAAAGGCGCGGGGCCAGAGTCGGGGACCTCGGAGACAGCAGGGACCCGCCAGCGCGCTCCCGGACTCACCTCCCGCGGCAGCCCCTCAGGACTCGTCAGCCCCGCCAGCCCGGAGGAGGCGGGATGGACTCCGGGCCGCGGGGGCTGCCGGGAGCCTTGTTGCCTGGGCAACGGGTTGGGCCTCAGCGAGCAGCAGCGACTCCGCGGAGAGCTAGAGCGGCCGAGCCACAAGTGTCGGCGGACCCGTGGAGCGGAAGTGACGCCACTTCCTCAGTCTGAGGGCGGGGCTTCGGATCTCCGTGTTGAGGTCTACCTGTGGACCGCATGGAAGGTGCGTGCGAGGGCTGTGCTTCCCTTGTTGTGGCGAGGCTGCAGGTCGGGGGTGGGGGGAGGAAGGTCGGGAATCCGCGGTGTGACTGACTTGCGGGCCGCGCATGAACCTCGCGGACTGTCCGGAACCTATTCCTGTGTGAGTGACATCTGAGTGCGGTGATGTGCGTGAAGTGTTTGTCAGAGGTGTGACGCTCCGAGCATCCCGGAGCACATTGGAGCCAAGCCTGACATGGCAGCCCCTCCGGAAACCCTCCCCTTGAACCCCGGCAGTCAGGAACACCGACCGTGGAGCTTGCAGTTTGTAATAAAGGCTGTCTCTGTGGGCCGATTAGTGTCACGTGAGTCCGTGCGTTTGCGTATGGCAGGGGTTTCATGGAGTAACTTCAGCTCCGCCATGGCCTGTGACCGATCACTGTTATCTCCCTATTTGCCTGTGAGTATCTAGAAGTGGGAGCTGTGCTTTGGGTTCCGAAGTGGGGCCGGCATACCTAGTCAGATGTGATCCTCGCCCTCAGGAACCCCCACTGAGGGACGAATACAGGTAGTAAGAGCAGCTCCTCCGTGTAACATGTTTGATGCAGCATGTACTATGTGAGCACAATATGGGAGGAAACGAAACTTAAATCCTGCTTTGGTTGAACTCAGTCCAGCGGGCAATGTAGACATTAAGCAGGTGAAAAGATTGACTGGTGAATGTAATGACAGCCAACGTATAGGAGGATGACAGATGTCTACTGCAGTGATTCCTAATGTAACCGGCGGATCCAGGAAACCTTTTTTTTTTTTTTTTTTTTTTTGGTTTTTCGAGACAGGGTTTCTCTGTGTAGCTTTGGAGCCTGTCCTGAAACTCACACTGTAGCCCAGGCTGGCCTCGAACTCAACAGAGATCCACCTGCCTCTGCCTCCCGAGTGCTGGAACTAAAGGCGTGCACCACCACCGCCCAGCGTCCAGGAAGATTTCTTGATAGAACTGTTCAAGTTTGTCTCCTGTTGCTATGGTAAAATACCATGACTAAAAAGCAACTTGGGAAGGAAAGGGTTTATTTGGTTTACCCTTCCAGGTCACAATCCATCATTGAGGGAAATCAGTAGGAACCCAAGCAGGAGCAGAGGCAGGAACAATGAAGGAAAGCTGCTTACTGGCTTTCTGTCTCCCTCCCAGGCTCACACACTGCTAGCTAGCTTGCTTCCTCTTTGAGATTTTATTTATTACTTTATGTGTTTGAGTGTTTGCCTGCATTTATGTAAGTACACCCTAAGTATGCAATGTCCACAGAGGCCAGAGAAGACATAGTATCCCCTGGAATTGGAATTACAGCCGATTGTGAGACTATGTGAGTGCTGGGTCTTCCAAAAGAGCAGCAAGTGCTCTTAACTTCTCAGCCATCTCCAGGTCCTCAGATAGTCTTCTTTCTCAACCCAGGACCACTTGCCCAAGGGTGGCTCCACTATAGTGGGCTAGGCCCTTCTACATCATTTGTCACACAGACATCCCCACAGACAATTCTTCAATTGTAGCTCTCCCCAGGTATATCAAGTTAACAGCAAAACTAACCAAGGCTTTCTTTGTTTCGTTTTTTGCATTTAACTATTGCAAATATATTTATTGCAACTTACAAATAAGTTAATAATGATATAATTTTAGCTATAAATTTTCTGTGTTTAAATTTTTGCATCAGAAATGTGTCTCAAAATATTCTAGTCCCCTAATGAAGGTGAGGTTAAACTATATAAAAATAAAATCTGAGGCTGGAGAGATGGATTAGCAGTTAAGGGCACTTCCTGCTCTTTTAGAGCATTGGAGTTTGGTCCCCAGCATCCACATTAGGCAGCTCACAAACACCTATAACTAGCTCCAGGAGATCAGTCACCCCCTGGCCAGGCAGGCATTCCTACAGAGGCACACAGTCTCACACACACACACAAACAAATCTTGAAAATCTGATAATTTAGATGTCAAGATCCAAATAAAAATTACCACATTTCATGTCTCAAAAATGAGCATTTTACCTGTATGCACAAGCCTTTTATATGTTACCACATTATAAGACTTTAACGTATGGAATATTCCACTAAAAACCCAAAGGATGTCGGGCGGTGGTGATGCACGCCTTTAATCCCAGCACTTGGGAGGCAGAGGCAGGCAGATCTCTGTGAGTTCGAGGCTAGCCTGGTCTACAAAGTGACTTCCAGAGCAGCCAGAGCTGTTACACAGAGAAACCCTGTCTCAAAAACAAACAAACAAAAAAACCCAAGGATTTTCTTTCCTTAGAGGTTTTCTTTCGTGGAAGGGACTTTAGCATTTACGATTGAAATGAAAATGACAAGAATTCTGTTACTCTCCTCTAGTCCAATTTTGGTTCCTTCTATCCTCATCACTGTCTGGTCCTTTGTATAAGGAGGGAAGTACATAGGAGCATTTAAATTTTTATTTATTTTAATTAACTTACAGAGTAGCAGGTTTCTTTATGGTATTTTCATACTTCACTTTGGTTGACTCTCCTGATTGTGTCCCCCATCTCCAGGTATACCCTCCTAGCCCAGTACCCCTTCCACTTTCGTATCACACGTGGGAGTATGTTTAACCAAGCGTCTACTTTGGTAGTGAGTGTAGAACATAAGCTATGGCGATCATGTCTGCTCTGCTCCAAGCTCATTCATAGCCTGCTCTTCGCTGTGCTCAGCTCGTCCTGTTGGCCTGTGTGGCTCTGGTTGTGTGAGCCCCTCCTTGTGTGCCGCTTTCTCTCCATTTTAGCCTGGTAATGCTGGTTTGTCCTGTTGGTTATACTCACCAAGTTCATGGTCACATCAGGGCCCATGCTGACTCCCTTTCCCCAGCTTCTTACTGCTCACACCTCAGCTCAAAGGATACCCCTGGTTCATGCTGACACACGACCCTTGTTTCGTTTTTTCTTTATATTTAGCCAGAGCCCTGCTACACAGCCCATGTTAACCTTTTTTTAACTCACAGTGGTTGGCTGGCCTTGATCTCTTGCCTCAGTCTCCTGAGCACTGGGATTAAAGTCTGTGCCATGACACCTGGCTTCCTGTGCCATTTTTTACATAATGTTTATGATCTGAACTGGTTAAGAACTGGTGAAGATCATTTACTTGGATATTGTTTGACTCTCTTTTAGAAGGTAAGTGCCATGGGAAAAGGCCCTAGTCTCATTCAGTCACTTCGTTCCCCATACTTGACATTTGAAGGAAGCTTATTTGTTAGTTGTTTAAGTAAAGAATGAATGAAAAAAAAAATCAATGTATTTAAAAGCAGAGCTATGGACGAGGTATGGTTGCACAGGCTGCAATCCAGGCTACTTGGGAGGCTGAAGCGGGAAGATAGGACGTTCAAGGTCTGGCTTCTGCCTGCCTGGGCAACTTGTACCATCTCATACAGTAAAATGGCCATGTACAGGGCCCTAGTTCAGTCCCCAGTACCATTAAAACAAAAAAGAACAGAGCCCTAAAGAATACTGAGTTAGCTAGTGAGTGAAGACATACACGAACAGTTAATGTGGTCCAGGTTGGAATGATACAGAGCCAGCATTGAGGCACTGAGTAAATAAAAGACCATGATAGAGAAGGGTTGGACAAATTTGGGTCCTAGTACTAGACTTTGTGATACAGGTTGTTATGTGTTAGGCCTTCACAGCTTCATATATTATTTATATACTTTTTTTTGAGACAGAGTCTCACTAGCCCTGGCCGGCCTGGAACTCAGTATGTAGACCAGGCTGCCTTGAATTCGTCTATATCCACTTTTAACAGCCCTGTGGAGCAGATGCCTGTTTTAGCACCAGTCTTATTAAATAAACACAGAGTCAAATATAGGGATAAAAGCCTTAAAGATCAGGGAGACAGAGACACCAGTTAGCCTTAACTCACCACGCTTCTGTAGCTTCCCAAGCGAGCTACTTCCTGTCTACTCAGGCTTTTATTGCCTTGTTGTTCTGTCCTCTCATTGGCTCTTAGCCCAGCTACCTCACTTCTTTGTTATTGCCTGTCTGTCTAGACCCCAGGTCTCTATGGTTGGTACTGGGATTAAAGGCGTGTGTCACTACGCTTGGCTGTTCCCTAGTCTGTCCTTAAACACAGACCGTGCCTGCCACGTGATCAGATTAAGGGCATGTGCTACTACTGCCTGACTTCTATTCTTACTTAAAAATGGATGGCCATATGTCCTCTGATCTCCAGACAAACTTTATTTATTAACATACAAATAAAATACCACCACACTTTGCAGATGAGAACATTGACACTCCAGGAAATTTCAGATACGTCTACACTCAGAGCTGGCAGAGCTAAGATTCATGCCCAGGAAGCATGGTCTTCAAAGTGTAGTCTCCAGAGCATGCAGCTGTTGTGTGTGCTGGATTCTTCTAGGCTGTAAGATGGCTGTGTAGGGTTCTAAGTGGAGAAGGCAGCACAAACACTCCGCGCTT